TTTGTAAAACGAGGTAGGTCATAGCCTATTTTCTTGCAATGTTCACTCTGTTTTTAATCTACTAAATCAATATACTTTAGCAAGAAGCTTAGTGACGTTGTTTGGGCCATATGGAAATGGTTAAATGGTTGGAGATGGAGAGTATCATCATAAATACATTTTATGTGATCATTATTTGTAGTGTGGAATATTAATTTAAGTCAAAGTCTCATTTCGACTATATATTTTGTGGGTCCCACTACTTTTCAATCACACATTTCATTAATTTCTATTAAAATTTACTAAAAATTTAATTCTAATCCATACCAAATAGGGACTTAGTATGTCACCATAAGTTCAAAATCAGTATTTGCTAAGTTATGTTAATATCCATGTATCAAGTATTATTTAGGTACATAATTGATAGTCTTATCTCCAAAATCGGTGCACAAGGCAACTAAGAAAAGAGAGAGCCACTGACTGCTTGACTCAAGATAAGTCAAGTAAAGCAATTGGTTTCCTCGAAATATTTAGGAAATTGCCATGAAAATTAGTAAAAGAATGTAGAGTCAAGTCAATATGCTACTTTTGTTAGCACTAACATATGAAAATAAAAGAGTGAATTACCCAAATGGTCATTGAATTTTGTAAAAAAATTTCACGGGATCACTAAACTTTAAAAATCATCCAATTCATCGCTGAATAGTGATCCTTGGGAAACATTTTGCAAAGTTCGGTGATAAATTAGGTGACTTATAAAATTCAGTAATCTCGTGAAAACTTTTTGCAAAGTTCGATGATGAATTGCGTGATTTTTAAAGTTCAGTAACCCTTTAGAAACTTTTTGCAAAGTACAATGACCATTTGGGTAATTCACTCGAAAATAAAAAGAAATTCCCATGAAACTTCACTCTCGCGTTTGTCTTTGTATTGTTGATTCGTCCATTCATGTTAACAACATTATGCACATAATTCGTGGTACTGAACCTGGCTAGTAAAGGAATCTGTATTATAGAACAAAACACGTTGGTATCATCCAAAAAAATATTTATCTTTCGACTTTGAAATATTCTGGTAATTCTCACTTCAACAAATATTGATGTCCATTGTAACCTAAGCCCCGACCTGATATCCCACTTTCACCCAAGCCAACGCCTCATTTCCTTTCCTTTATTTTTGTTTGTATTTTTTCTTTATTTTTAACGCTTATATGGACAATTCCATCCTCTGACACATAGATCTTATGCCAGAGAAGTCTCTGCCTGGTAATTTAAATGATAGTTGATCTATTTTCGAAGAAACACCCACAACATTTCTGAGTAGTTGATTAAATCATAGCCCACTCAACTATAAATAGCCCTACACCATTCATCAAACTTCATCACTTTTAAACCACAAATCATACAAATGGAAGGCCATATTACTTGGACTGCATATACAGCAGTATGGCTAAGTATTTTCGCTCTCTCTCTTTTCAAGAAATCTTCGCAAGAAGAAACTGAATTTACCACCTGGTCCAAAACTGGCCTATTATTGGAAATTTGAACCTCATAGGATCACTTCCTCATCAGTCTCTCCACCAACTCTCTCAGAAATATGGTCCCTTAATGCATCTCCAATTCGGCTCATTCCCGGTCGTTGTCGGCTCCTCGGTCGAGATGGCCAAGATTTTCCTTAAAACCATGGATGTAACTTTCGTGTCTAGGCCTAAAACGGCTGCTGGAAAACACACGACTTATAATTGCTCCAACATCACTTGGTCCCCTTATGGACCATACTGGCGACAGGCGCGCAAGATGTGTGTAACGGAGTTGTTTAGTGCAAGAAGGCTTGAATCGTACGAGTATATTCGTGTAGAGGAAATGAACTCTCTTATCAAGGAGCTTTTCAAATCTTCAGGAAAGCCCATTTTGTTGAAAGACTACCTTTCGACAGTTAGTTTGAATGTGATTAGTAGAATGGTTTTGGGGAAGAGATACTTGGATGAATCTGATAACTCAATTGTGTCACCTGAGGAGTTCAAGAAGATGTTGGATCAACTTTGGTGATTCAATACCTTATATTGATTTCTTGGACCTGCAAGGATATATTAAGAGGATGAAGATCCTAAGCAAGAAATTCGACAGGTTTTTGGAGCATGTTCTTGATGAGCACAACGCCAAGAGAGAAGCAACACAAAGTTATGTCAGCAAAGACATGGTTGATGTTCTATTGGAACTAGCAGATGACCCCAATCTTGAAGTCAAGCTTGAAAGGCATGGAGTCAAGGCATTTACTCAGGTATAGGAATTCAATTTTCAGGTTTCGTATAAGTTACTTCTTTTTCCTTTGTAACAAATGTAAAACTTGATGATCTTTAGGATTTGCTTGTTGGAGGGACGGAGAGCTCGGCAGTGACTGTCGAATGGGCCATATCAGAGCTCCTAAAGAAGCCCGAGATATTCAACAAGGCAACCGAAGAGCTTGATCGGGTTATAGGCCAGAACAGGTGGGTACAAGAGGAGGACATACCAAGCTTACCTTACATAGAGTCCATCGTCAAAGAAACCATGCGGCTGCACCCTGTGGCACCAATGCTGGTGCCACGGCTATCCCGAAAAGACTGCAAAGTCGCTGGATACGACGTTCAGAAAGGAACCAGAGTGCTCGTAAACATATGGACTATTGGAAGAGACCCTGAACTGTGGGAGAAACCAAATGAATTTTGTCCAGAGAGATTTATTGGGAAGGATATTGATGTAAAAGGCCACGATTTTGAGCTTTTACCATTTGGTGCAGGGCGCAGAATGTGTCCAGGATACAGTTTGGGACTGAAGGTGATTCAGGCAAGTTTGGCTAATCTTTTGCACGGATTTAAATGGAGATTAGCTGATGATATGACACCTGAAAATCTCAACATGGAGGAAATATTTGGGCTGTCCACTCCAAGAAAATTCCCTCTTGCTGCTGTGGTTGAACCTCGTCTGCCACTCAATCTTTATTTTATATAAATATTGGCAATAAGATTTCAATTTCTTTTTCTTTCGTGTTGCTGTCAAATACAAGTAATATGGCTTGTCCATAGTTTCGTTTATGAATAATTACTAAAGTCACCACTGACTTGAGAGAAAAATCGGGATACTTGTTGGCAATTCTTCTCCTCCAAACCAGCCAAGAATGGTCTAGAAAAAAGACACATTGGATGTACATTACAAAAAAATGTATACTAGCTGAGCCGATGTATTTGTGCGATGAGTGAAATTGAGAGAGAATTGAGAGAAAAGCTGTAGCGTGCAAGTAATTTACAGAGTACATATTTCTGGGCTAGTGCCCTGCTACATCGTTTTAAGCTTAAACACTAGTGTGCAAGTGATTTGTCTGGGCGCATTATTCGTATGCATCAGCTAAGTGATGAAAACACTCTAGGCCTTGTCCCAAAATAGTCGTTCAACTTCATGCTCTATTTTTAACGTACAAATATAAAGAAATTTATAACACTCAATATACCATAGTAAAAAATTACAATTTGCACAATACCATACGACTTGTATACATAGTTAATTTGTGTGAAGACTAAACAAATACATGCAGAATATCTTCAACCTCAGCCTTTATCATAAGTTGTCCCCTCATCTGAAAACGTCGGGACGTGCTGTGAATGGTCAGCAAACAAATGTACGTACTCAGTTTCAACCAATTATTGACATGCATTTAGCAGTAACGTAATGCCCTGGATAATCTAACTCACGAGATCAAATGTAACCTTTCTTGGAGAACTATTTCTTTGTGCATGTCTGATACACAATATCATAAAAATTAAGCTACTTGTACATTCCATTTGTACATCGTGGTTGAAGTTTCATGATGTGTAAAAGATTGTTTCATGTATTGTTAAAAATCAATGACAAAACTGTGTCAACCAAGATGTACATGTAACAAAACTGATATTATAATGTGCTTGTGCTTGAGAGTACGACATTATATTCTTTCTTAATAATTTATAACCTTAGCAGCCCTCCCAAGTCCCAGGTGTAAAAAGGTTTCTGCCATACTACTTCAATCCTTAGGGTATGCATGTCTCATGACATATGGTGACAATTACACCACATAACGAAGACCCAAAAAACCCTATTTTCCGTCAAACTCCCACAACTCCCTTTCCGAGACCCATGATATTGACTAGAACGGCTAACCATGATGAATGCTTTAGCAATAGAATTTTGTCATTTGTACATCATTTTCTTTACATCATATATATATATATATATATATATATATATAGGATTTCCTTTACATTATTATCAACATTCCCTTTGTTTTCAAAATATTGTAGGCGGGAAAACCCTTTTTATTAAATGGCAACTTGACAAACGGTTAGCAATAATATACAGATTTCGAACTAACAAAACAATATCTCTTGCATAAATTATTTTTATATAAATCCAAAGTATTACTAAACTACTTTGTAATACTAAGATTAATCGAAAAACATGAAACAAACTAAATCCCTGTATGATATAGCTAAAAATCAAAATTTAATAATAGAAGTAGATGAAGCCCTTGTTTCATAAGAATGCATTTTTAAATAGTGTATTGATGGAAAATATGTGTTAAAAAATAAGGAAAAGTTTTGGATTTACATGTAATATTATTTTAAATATGTGATTGAAATTATGTCAAATCAATGTTTAAGAATATATTTTTTTGAAAGAATATGAGTCAAACAAGCCCAAAACATGCAATTGAAAAATTGTAGATTTCATGGTGTATAGTTAAAACTCACGTGTGTGAAGTCAAGGTTGGTACATCAACAAACATCACACCACACAACAAAACTCCTTTGAACAGGATAATTTGGAGAAGAACAATTTTGTCCACAAAAATATCCCACAGCCCAAACAATTGGAAGAGACAACTAGTCCATTAATATTCAGACTTCTATATCTATGTATATTGCTTCATCAATGGTGGTGAAAAATGGCAAAACAGCAGTACCCTAATGGCATGTGGTATACAATATTAATTGAAGCAAAATTAGAAAAGACAATGAAATCAAAATCATATTCACTGTACAACTGCACGATCCTTCTCTTCATTATAGCATTCATAAATTCAACAAACTAAAAGCTAAAGAATCAACCCATATATAAAAAGTAGAAAAAATCTAAAGAATAAAACTGCATTTCAAGAAGAGGATGAAGAAAGAAACAGAGAAAATTCCCCTCCTTTTTCTTATGGCAAAACTAAAAACAGAATCAGTCTTTAGTAGAACCCCGAGAAGTAATAACTTCATTTGTTTCCCTCAGAAAGGAACTAGAAAACTTTGTTGGTAGATCACACAATGAAGAGTAAAGTAATCCCAATAAACAAAATTCGGTTTATGCAGAACCGCCCTTGCCAAAGCTTTAGTGAAATGCTCAGCACCAAAACTGAGTAATAATATAGCATTTCATATGAACCACTTTCACAAATTTACATCTCCCGTGCCAATGCAATAGGAACACGTTAGCACTCAAGAAGTATCAAATTATGTAGGACATAAAACTTGTGCCAAGAAGAACATTGTTTATGGCCATACCTTTGTGTCTATCATAGCCAAATGAACGGTATTTACAGAAAAGAACCCTGCAAAAAATTCATGAAATAAATGCAACTCTCACAATTGAAATCCAAAGGGGAAGTAAAATTTGATAATAAAATGCTTTGGGAGTACAAACCTATTGTTGAAAAAAATGGAGCAGCTCAACTGGTAAAGGCATTAAGCATTTAGCAAATATAATTATTGGTGTGTATTATGACATGTTATCTAGCAACCAAGCTGCCATTTTGTTGGTGTCTCAAATGTTCAATAAGATACTGGTAAAAAGATTTCAGAGCCTTGATGTCATTACCCTGAGAATGAAAAGATTGAGATATATAAGGTGAAATGAGATAGTATATTAAATAAAGCAGAATTAGAACCATGCATTGCATAAAAGATTATATCACAAGACCAGACAAATGTACTTGATTTGAAAGGAAATCCAGCTTGGCAGCTAGAATTATTCATCTAGCGATCAAGTTTCTTGCGTATACTACATTCAATAGTCGAAGTAATTATGTGTACGCTTAGAGCCTGTTTGGTTTGGATTAAAATCTAATTTAAAGTCAAACAATCAATATTAAACACTTTTTTATGGGTCCCACAATTTTTAAAACATACATTTCAAAAACTTCTATCACAATCTACTAAAAAATCCAATTTTAATCCCCGTCAAATACCCTCTTAATTTTAAAAGGAAAACACACACACACACATTGATATTAACATTTTTCAACAAATTTCAAAACCTGTGTCCCTGTGATTTCAGGTTTGTAGTTGAGCAATCTCAAAATTTTAGAGCTTGAAAAGCCAATGCTTAGTAACCAAACCTCAATGCAAGCAATGGCACCAGGCACCCAGGGTTATGCCACAAAATCCCACTGCACGCAGAGACAGAAGCTACTGCCTGCCACTTCTGCCCCCCACCCATATAAAAGTCAAATAGAAAACAAAAAAAGAAAAGGGTCGCACATATATATTGATCAGCTGAGCTCCAGCAGAAATAAACGAGCTGCAAAAGTTTAGATGACCATCCAGTTAACTAATTCTACAACTTTGTATTCAGTCTCCATTTACAAGCCAACAAAAATGTTTCATGTCGATGGTCTCAGGATCATTATCAGTTGTATGTAACCTGGATCAGCTACTACCTTAAAACATTTTTATATACGAAACATGTCATATGCGAAATTCAATTGCAAGTTTAAATTACTGTTGCTAAAAGCAACATATACCTGCAGCTTCTGACAATACTGTTCTACAAAGTCTTGATGGCAATGCGCATTGGAGAAACCTTTTGATACAAAATGATGAAGAAAATCATTGCCAAATTTCTCATACATGACCTTCTGAGCTAGCACTATTTCTCCGAACAAGCTAAGCTGCCATAAAAACCCCAAATAAAGAATGGGAATTTATTTAGCCTAGCATAAAAAACAAAAAAGATATTGTAAAAAAGCAACCACTTTGGTAGAAATATAAATTGTTCACCAGCAATGCCAAACAGTGTCATCACAAACAACAAATCCAAGGTGGGAAAAAAATATATACATATACATATACGTATATGTACATATATATACGTATACATATACATGTAAATATAATGTACATATACATATTGTATATGTATACAGATATATATATATTCTACATACAAATACAAGCCAAGAACTTGATCTTTTCAGGTCAAGGAAGATTATGAACATGGAAATCCCAACAACATACACTTGCATATTGTTATTTAAAACGTTGGCAAGACTTACAGTGTTTGCATCACGAAAATCAAAGGACTTGTCAAGCACACTGTAGAGACAACAATTGGTTGCAAACACCTCAACGACAAAACTTCGAAAACCAGGAACCTGGAAAACAGTCTCCCTTTACTATTCTGAAGAAATTATCACTACAATTATTGAGTTTAAAGAGTAGATACCTTTTCTTCACTATAAGGCCTGGTACACCAATCTTTAATTAGCCTTATTATTATCTGTACACATGCCTGAAAGAAAAAACACAGAAGAGGTTGGATTGATCGTACACCAACATATATTCTAAGGATTCTGAAGCACATTAATGGTTGTAAGCACTTCTGCAGTAAGAAAGTAGTGGTACACACCTTCCGTACAGCGATACCATTATGATAACAAGATGCATATAACAGCAATTGCATCATTGGATCCAAGTAACCCTGACCTCTTGGGGAAAGGAAAATTGGTGATAGATCATGAGTAGCAATCACATGAAGAAATGTGTAAAATGTTCGCTGAAGCTCTTGCAGCTCGCGGATTTCCTGAAAGAAAAGAAATCAAAATGACACAAGTCAACTCGTCATCATCTGAACTGAAACAAGTGTTCGAAAACGAATTCTCTTTAAGTTCAAATATAAGTGTATAACGTTAAATGCTTCGTGCTTGCAGCAACATCCTATTTCCCCTTGTATCCAAAAAAAATCGTAACAGAGATCCTTTAGTTTAGATATCCATGTTGACATTGTATAATAAAATGTTTTATGGCAACATCTATGCTATTGATTACTAGCATGTGTTGCACTGTATGCTTGTAAGTAGAAATCACTTCCATGCTAAGGTAACTGAAACGATCTTTTTAGCACCAAAGAGAAGTGACAAGGTCAGAAATGCTTATTGCATCAATACTAGTAACAAAATCATGAAAACTAGAATGCCTCCACACGGTCACCTCACTACTCAACAAGTTAACATACCTCAGTACTGCCACCAGGTCCTGATGGAATATCACCTCTTGGGAGAATACTAAACAGCCTACCAGCAATAACAGGGTACACTTCCTCCAATATGTCATAGACTCCAGTGTTGAATTTGCAGATGAGCTGGTTAAGAAGTACCAAAAAACCCACCAGTTCCTTTGACTGCATATGGCAATATGATGGTCAAAGCTCTAATTATTACCATCTACGTTGTAAAAGCAGATGGAAGGAGAAAGACAAATCGCTAATCAATGATCACAACAATTCATACTTCCCTTAAATTTTCATAACTTTGATAAAGGAAATCAATAAGTAAATACAAATCATAGGCATCCAATTCTGAACGCTTTCCCCTTACCCACCATCATAAGAAATCAAAACTTCTATAGATAAGAAAATACATAATATAGCACCATAAGTATGACGAGAGCATGTACCCATGTCCTTATTGATGTAATATTTGTTACAGTCAGAAAGCACATTCCAGTTTCGACCATTGGTAGAAATTTTAACAAGATCTTACACAAGTTGTAAAATGTACAAGGAGGAAAAAATAATCGCAGAACATGTCATCAAGAACAGAGATTTTTAGAGGTCAAGATTGAAAAATCAAACATATTGTCAGGACATTGTTAGCTGGTACAAAAGTTATCTTGGTAATTTAACAAAATATGGAAGGAGGCAACGATTTATATTACAGTTTTGATGAAAACAAACTATAAAAAAGAAGAAGAAAAAAACGGCAGATATTTATACCTCACTTTCTGCTAGCAACTGCTCCAGTGCCTTGGGAAGATATGGGAACACTGATGCTCCCAAGGTATCCACCATACGGTGAATAAATGAAGTGACCTAACAAAGGAGGTCCGATTAGCTGAGGAGCTTATCACACAGCATTAATGAAGAAAGCTCAAAAGCATACCTTACACCGTAGTGGTACTATCTTCGGAAAGACAACTAGTAGTTGTAGGAGAACATCTAATGTCTGAATATTTATAAAAGAACCTATTAAAACACAGAAAAGATAAAACAAACATCCTTACGTCTAAACAAAAATCTGCTCATAGAGCCCCAAAGTTCTATGAGGCCCTTGTACGAGGTCAGCATAGAATAATCAGAATGCAGATTAAATCACGCACTAGTTAGTTTGGATACAAAAAGACATGGACAGTGAAGCTTTCCACCGACCTGTTTGAACATGAGACCAATAGCAGGGCGACTGGCAGTTACAAGACGCTCACTGAAGCCCTGAATCAAACATGCACCATACTCATTAGAATACAAATTTATGCAAAAATTATGAAAACTTGTCCAAGCAGATTCAAAAACTTGACAAAATAATGTCATGTCAAACTCGTAAATTAGATGCAGCTTAAATTTTCACCCATTAAAGAAAGATTAACAATTATAAAAAAGATGCCATCCTTTCTCCATATCACATTTAGCCCCTGTTTGGCCCCCATTACATGGAAAATTAATGGGTGGAATAGTTTTTTTTTTGAAAAATGAGTGGTTGAAAAAGAAGGAAAAGTTTTCGATTTACGTGTAATATTATTTTATGGAAGATTGTATGGTTGAAAATAGGAGAGAGAAAAATGAAATGTAATAGAATAAAAATTAATGGGGGCCAAACGGGGGCTTACAATGAGACAATAAAATTTTGTTTCCTTTCTTATCAAAGATACTACAGAAAAGCGACATATTCAAAAAACAAATAAATAAATAAATAAATAGATAATAATAATAATAATAGTAGTAGTAGTAGAAGTAGTAGTAATAATAATAAATGAAATTAAAGCAACTGGTATATATAAGAAACAAGAAATTTGAAAGGTCAAGAAAGACCTTGCTGAGGGCATTAATGGCCATAATTATTTGCTGGATCTTTGCTATATTTGTCGCAGATTCATCGGGAATCTGAGTTTGAGCATTTAAGAGGGCAAATTCAACCTGCCAAAGCATTTTGATTTTTGATTAACTAAGTGTTGAGTAACAAGAAATCAGTTTAAAATAGATGAGAATATATGATATCTAGATAAATTAAGTGTCAACATTACAAATTGATAAAAAGAGGGCCTGCACGGGTAGCCTAATAAACACGTTTTCATAACAAGCAATCAAACTTGACCTGCTGACAGAGAGGAGTAAGCAAGGCAGCTAGGTAGTCAGATTGCTTTTCAAGTGGTACATCTTCCATTCCAATTAATAACCCAATTGCCTGTAAAGTAATGACAACAACTCGCCTTGGATCAGACATCAATAATATAAACCTGCAAAAATAAATTACTGGTATAGCATATACCTCAAAAATGTGACTACCATCTTCAGATCCCGATTGTGTTTTTGATGAACCATCCATTCTAGTAAACTGTGCAACTGTATCTTGTAGACTCTGGAAATCCAAGGAAATGTCAAGCTCGATAAGGAAAAAGAGAATAACAAGGTGTGGCAATTACTCAAATTTTCCAGCATCTAAAACAACAACAAAAAGCTGCTAGTATATAAATCATTTTTCTCAGCACTCTGCTCGACATCCACTTAAAAGTCCAATTGAAACCAACTTTTTTACAACCCATGAGGCCCTCTAAAACAAATAACCAATGAAGATGGCAAAAATGAAATGAACAGTTTAATACCTGCAAGATTGTCTCTATATAAGGAACAAGCTTTGCTTTGAGCAATTTGACAACTCTCATGAAAAGATAACTTGCCCTTCGACTCACATTGACATTTGAATGGTGTATACCTCTTTCGTCAAGAAAGGCACCCAGGGCTACAGGAATATATTGAGTGTTCTCCTGCACAAACTTCATATATCTTGTTATCGTTTCCAGGAAAACAAGTGCCACAATCCTATTGGAATGACAAGGAAATCTCGTTGATAAAAGCATCAGAACCAGCTCTCCCAATTGACCACTTGCAGTCCTCATCATATCATCACTTATTGATTCTCCAAGAGCATAAAATAAGGAAAGTGCAGCTTCTACCACTTCAACATTTCTATCCTCTGATGATGCAGCAGCACTTGCTAATGAGTTCCTGATAAAAATCTGAGTCATGTCAGGTGCTACACAACCTACACTGCGAAGCAATACAAATAAATCTTTCCTAAACTCCACCATCCTATCTTCTTCTTCTCTCCCGATCTTGTCCAACACATCAAGATTATTGCGGTAGATAGGATCAAACTGAATCTGCACTCGAATCACTTCTAATATCTGTCGCACATGAAGTAGCTGTGTTTCTGTCAGCATGGAAAGACTTTTCATTGTATTAACATAACCAGAAAGAAACTGAACAATGCTGAACGTTGCATCAACTTCACAGCTCTGCATTACATAAAAAACCGACGGCAAAACCTCATTCAACAGCTCCAATGAAATCTCTTTACCGTCACTGGGGCTCAAACGCTTGGAACATTCCAAAGCCTCAGCAGCATAGCCAGTAAGCAAAGAAGCCACGCCAGAAACCAACTCAGAGTCACTATCCCCTGCTACCAATCCAAAAGCCCTTCTTATATGAAGACTCTTTAAAAGGGCAAGTTTTGACTTTGAATCCATCCGCTTAGAGACCGCTGCAAGAAGAACACTGGCAGCAGCAGCCCGAAGCTGATCTGGAAACCCATCCACCAACATCAATTCAAAAAACAAACTAGTAAATGATTCGTTCACAATCAAGCTAATGTCAATCCATGATATGTACCTCCTCATAGAATCTAAAACACCAGTACACAACTCCGGGTCCGAATTCCGGTACATCAACACAACGTCATACCATGCCCTTACAATCTGAGGCACGCATTGTGCCCTCATTGCATCCTTAATCCTCCCCGCCACAGCCATCTCATCCCCATTTCGTGGATAGTCTAAGCTGATTACTTCATCATCCAACGCATTCAAAATCCGACAAAACATATCGATAACCACCCGGCCTTTACTCAAATTTGGCAAGAAATCAATAAAAACAGAAGGCCAAATTGATGGGTACTCAAAATATATTAATGTCACAACAACCTGAGCAAGCTTGTTCTTTATAAATGCCTGGCCCTCCAAAACCAGAACAGAGTTGTGGTCATTAACATTAACAGCCTCGCAACAAGCCATTGAAAATATGGATTTCCGAATAAAGGACTTCTCCTCTAGACCCATTGATGAGTATTTGTCGCGAAGGGCCTCGTGGAGGCATTGCAAACACCAGAATTGGACTTGAACTAACTTAGAAAAACAGAGCTTCTCTATACATATGGAAGGAATGGATAGAGTCTCTTTAATTTGCTGAATAAAAGTCGCTGCCTTTGATTTCAGTTCTGAATCTACAGTCCCAGATTCATCAAAGCATATTAAAATCGCCTTTTCAAGATCATCCATTATTACTACGAAATCCCAAAACCCTAATTAACTAAAAAAACTCGCCAAATTTACTCCCACTGCAATAAATTTGAATGAAAAAATGAGCAATTTCAAAAAGAAAAATCCTTGCCTTCTGCATTAGTTTAACGGAATTTAAAGTGATTGGAGGATTGATGAATTCAAAACAATTTGATTAAACAGCAGGATTTGTTAAGGCTGCTTACCTGAATACCTAAAAATTTGATTGAAGAATAAAGCTATTGGTGAATAAAGCTAGGGTTTTAGGATGAATCCAGAAATTAATTAAAAAAAAAAAAACCCCCCTCAAACCTTGGAGTCACCCAATAAGTTTTATTAATATATATGGGTGCGTCTGTGTTTCGTATATCTGAGAGAGTTCGGGCGCCTGCAACTGGATGTGTGTGAAGAGGAGGAGAAGACGGAGGCTGGGCAAAGAACTCACGTTTTATACACACCGCCCGCCCCCAGCCACTCCAACCTATGTCATCCATCCCATCCCCCAAGCAATTTTTATTTTATTTTATTCAAACTTTTATGGAAACAAAACGGGTTAATTATTTGAATTGTGCCTAAACTATGCCCCTCTTTGCCCTCTTTTTCTTGGACAATACTACACATATCAAATTCTTTTATTGAATCTTTTACGTATTATTCACAATAAAGATGAGAGTCAGGAGTCAATATTTTTAAATTCACATGGATCTCGCCATACACTGTGCGAGAGGAGACACTATTTGATACCCATATTATATACAAATGGAATTTTCCCTTTTTCTTTCAAATTTTCCTTCTCACTCTTATTTTTAATCATACAATTTTTCATAAAATAATATTACACATAAATTGAAAATTTTTCATACTTTTTAACCACACATTCTTCAAAAAAATATTATTCCATACATTAAAGATTGAAAAAAAATGAGGCTAAATGGAAGTTATTATATCAAATGCTGGTACTTAGTAAGGGCTGAGCCACATTAATTTCAAAAAAATATATTTTTCAACAGTAATTTGATATCATTTCAACCACATATTTTTCAATAAAATAATATTATAGGCAAATATAAAATTTTTCCTTATTTTTTAACAACACATTTCACATTGATTTGACATGAATAATGCATTTTTCCTAAAATGTGGCTCAAACATGGACTAATTAAATTTAAAAATATATCTCAATGGCATCAATGGAAATATCCGTTAGATTCAACAAACGACATTGACTTGAGCGATGAATAGATAACACACTACATGGTTCAATGACCATTAAAATACAATTTTAAATTCAAATATTAAGTAGTAATAATTGGTATAATTTTAATTCAATTATTAAGAAGTAAAAAAATTTTCTTCCCTCAAATCAATTTATTTAAAAGAAAAAACTAAAGAAAATGAAGGAAAAAATAGGAAACCCAAAGTCTGAGACATGTAAATCGGGTAAAAATATAATTTTTCTGAATTGAGAATCACAAATTTATGAAAAAAAAAATCCAATTTTTTTCCATTTGGAGCTCTCTTTCAAATATCCATTCCTTTGAAGAATTCTCACTTGCTTAATTTCACAATCCAATTTCGTTTCGAAGTGAACAAATAATTCTATCTTTTATAGAAATCTATGATCAAAATTTTAAAAAATATCTTTTGTAGGAATCTCAATCACCACTTCCAAAAAATCAATCTTTCTTTGAAAAATCTTTTTTTCTTTTTGGTGGAAAAATGAGATACCCACAGGCAAAATTCAATCACTCGTAAAAATTCTTGATACCCAATTTTGAAAAGTTCTATTTCCTTGATTTATAGACCTCTGATTTTCATATTTCTCTTTTTTCCTTCATTTGTCTTTGATTTTTTCTTTAACAAAAGTTTATTTAAGGAAAAAAATTGTTACTACTTAGTAACTGAACTTAAAATTGTATTTCAATGGACACTGAACTATGCACAATTGTATTTCAATTGGTTTATTTTAATCCCCACCAAACAGGGACTCAATAAATTTAAAAATCAAAATTTAATCCTCTTCAAATAGGGATTCAATATATTTAAAAATAATAAGTTTTTGTTATATCTTGCCGAACATATAATTAGATATCCAAAATTATTTGGAGAATGATGCTCTTAAGTGTTAGCTGAAAGCCCAAAAGTATTACTAAACGTATAACCATATTATTTCATTCTAGATTGTACCCAAACACTTGTGGGTGAAAACTAAGTCTGCACAAAAAAAATTGTGAAAATTGCAAACTGAATTGAAATCATTGGTTCGGGTTTACGTGGAATCGCTATTTTTTCTCCACTCAAGTTGAATTAACCGTTTCAAAATAGTTTGGTTTGGGTTTTGATTTTCAAAAAAGCACAAATCGAACTGAACTATTTTTATAATTTTTAATTAAAACATTAATTTCATTAACATATAAATGTTACAATTTTCATTTTTCGGGAAAAAAATACCAATTTAGTTATACAAATTGCAACCAACCCATTGAAATAAGCATAGAAAGTAAATTAGGTTCATCATTATTGGCCCATGGTTTAACAAGTTCACAACACCTATTCTCAACCAATATCTAAATTAAATTAAAATTATTCTCAAATCATATTAAATGAAAAAATATATATATATTTTTGACAATCCAAATTATAATTCAACAAAATTACGTCAATAAATCATGTCCAAAACTTCAAAAATCCTAACATAAACTCTCATTTCCGAAAATATTTTACGCTTGTCTACCATTGCTGAACGAATCGCTAATTGCCTCTTGCCTATTAGTTTGCTAATTCCTGCATGAATCGCCTCTTTTTCTCTTTTCTCTTAGTAAATCTAAATTCTCATTTAAGCTATTTTTTTGTTGTTCTTTCTTGTATTTGTTGTTTTTTTAACTTATTATACACTTGTGAATTGTGGTTTAAATAGAAAAATAACTGTTTGTGTACTTAGATGACTAATGAATTTATTTGTGGTTTGGAAATAACGAATGATAGAACGTATCAATTGTGTGAGAATGATAAAGTTCCTTAACTAATACTACTACCTTTACTTTCACAAAGTAGTTAGAGAATGAAATTTCTCAATTCCTAATAAGCCCAAACTCTATCAATCTTTGTACATCTAAACATATCATGTTCAATTCTTATTTAACATCTCACTAGCAAGATAAAATGAGTTTTAACCAAACAATAATAGCAAAATGTGGCTTTACCTTTACCAACCGCTACATGATAATATGAACGTCTAACAAGGAAAGATAAAGAAAAAAAGAAGAAAGTTGTATTTGATCTATTAACATCTTTTAGCAACCAGATTTGACAGTAATTTATTCATGGATTTCACGATAAATATAAATGTAATTTAACATTTAACATTATTAATTCTCGTTTAAACTTATATGTTAACTTATGTTAAAATTACTATAATGTCGATAGGTAAGTTGCGAATTAAAATCGAATCAAACCGCAAATTATTGTTTACTTTGGTTTGGTTCAAAAAATTAAATGGTTTGGTTTGGTTTGGTTTGAAAAAACTTCAAATCACAATAAATTGTTTGAGTTGAAAATATAACACAAACTGTCCAAATCAAACCACGTTCACCCCTATTGGATACTTGTACTTGAGTGATAAATAGACATCATCGTGTATTTTGGACATGAAGAGCAACTATGAGGTAATAAACCTAATTATTTTGGTTTGTGAAGAATTGCTTACAACAAATTCGATCCTATGTCTCTTCCACTTGTGAATTTTATGAAGGATTTTAAGTGTTTTCATCCACCTACGGAAGACGGATGAGGAGATAAAAAAACCAAGTATGAGTGTTGAAATAAGGATCTTTCTATTTTATCTCATTCAATTATTGTTCAAATTTATCTAAGAACAGAAATCAATTGTTACGCCTCGCCACTGATGCTTTATTTTAAACATACGTGGCAATCACACGGAAGCATCAACCAAAGAAAAAGTCAAAGGTTGACCAGAGTCAACGGGCTGAAGCCCACTCAATTGTCAAATATCTTTACAGCTAAGGCTCTCTATCCTAAACTCTCTCCCTCCAAAGGGCCTTGAATTAGAAGTGGTTCTCAAGGAGTTTATAGCAGTGGCGGATCTCGGTGGTGGCGAGCTAGGCCGCCCTAGCTGGATTCGCATGAACCACTGAAGAAATTTTATTTTTTTGTTGACAATAGATTAAATTTTTATATTATATTGCTTGTAACTCATTTCATTTTCAAACTTCTTCTGCAGCTCTACTGATTAGAGCTTGCATGTGCATATTTGAAGTCTCGGGTTCTGTTGGATTTTATGCGCAATATTAAAGAGATGAAAATGAAAATCAATACAAGAATTTTACGTGGTTCGGCGATGTGCCTACGTCCACGAGAGCGAAGCAGAGATTTCTTTATTCAGTTGATAAAAATAGGGTTACAACATATTATTTATACTAACCCTAACCTGGGCCCATATAAGACTTTAAGGCCCATACAGAAAATACCTCTGTACCGTACCGCGGGCGTAGCCCCGCACCCTCAACCCATTCAGTGTCTCTAACAACCAGACAGTGAATTAAACCCACGCAAGGCCGATGCCGTCGCTTCGCTCCGTTCCGTTCGATGCGCTCCGCGCCGGCATCGGCCCATTTGATCCAGGGCTTGTGTTCCACTCTATATGAGCCACATGCACAACAATCTCCACCTTGGCGAATATTCACCCCTTAAGAGAAAAAAAACATAACCTAGAAAAAATCACACCATCTAGGACCAATGGGTTGGGACACATCCTCTCTAACAGTTAGAGATGTTAATCAAGTTCAAGCAATGCTTGAACCTATCCATTGTGATTGGTTTTGTCATCATGTCTACTGCATTTTCTAAGGTATGCACCTTCTCAAACAACAGCTCTCCTGAAGTAACCAACTCTCTTATCTTATGAAATCTCACGTCAATGTGCTTGGTTCTTGCATGGTAAATCTGATTCTTAGCTAGGAAGATGGCGCTCTGACTATCACAGTACAGCTTCATTCCATTTTGCTTGATCCCAAGTTCCCTGACAAGCCCTTTCAACCACAATAATTCCTTGACTGCCTTAGTTGCCGCCATGTACTTTGCTTCAGTTGTAGATAATGTCACAAGCGATTGCACCATTGACCTCCAACATATGGGCCCACCTGCGAGTGTGAAAACATAACCTGTATAGGACCTTCTGTCATCCAACTCTCCTGCATAATCTGCATCTACATATCCTTGAACTGAAATATCACCGTGTTGTCTCTCAAACATGATCCCGCACTCCATTGTACCTTTCAAGTACTTGAAAATCCACTTTACAGCTCTCCAATGCTCTCTACCAGGATTAGCCATATACTTACTAACCACACTGACTGCATGTGCTAAATCTGGTCTGGTTCACACCATTGCATACATCAAACATCCAACTGCGCTGGCATAAGGTACCTTTGACATCCCTGCAACATCTTCTTCACTCTTTGGGCAATGATTATTAGACAATCTAAAGTGATTTGCAAGTGGTGTGGCAACTGATTTTGCATCTGACATGCTAAACCTCTCTAACACTTTCTTCAAATAAAGCACTTCTGCAGTAAGAAAGTAGTGGTACACACCTTCCGTACAGCGATACCATTATGATAACAAGATGCATATAACAGCAATTGCATCATTGGATCCAAGTAACCCTGACCTCTTGGGGAAAGGAAAATTGGTGATAGATCATGAGTAGCAATCACATGAAGAAATGTGTAAAATGTTCGCTGAAGCTCTTGCAGCTCGCGGATTTCCTGAAAGAAAAGAAATCAAAATGACACAAGTCAACTCGTCATCATCTGAACTGAAACAAGTGTTCGAAAACGAATTCTCTTTAAGTTCAAATATAAGTGTATAACGTTAAATGCTTCGTGCTTGCAGCAACATCCTATTTCCCCTTGTATCCAAAAAAAATCGTAACAGAGATCCTTTAGTTTAGATATCCATGTTGACATTGTATAATAAAATGTTTTATGGCAACATCTATGCTATTGATTACTAGCATGTGTTGCACTGTATGCTTGTAAGTAGAAATCACTTCCATGCTAAGGTAACTGAAACGATCTTTTTAGCACCAAAGAGAAGTGACAAGGTCAGAAATGCTTATTGCATCAATACTAGTAACAAAATCATGAAAACTAGAATGCCTCCACACGGTCACCTCACTACTCAACAAGTTAACATACCTCAGTACTGCCACCAGGTCCTGATGGAATATCACCTCTTGGGAGAATACTAAACAGCCTACCAGCAATAACAGGGTACACTTCCTCCAATATGTCATAGACTCCAGTGTTGAATTTGCAGATGAGCTGGTTAAGAAGTACCAAAAAACCCACCAGTTCCTTTGACTGCATATGGCAATATGATGGTCAAAGCTCTAATTATTACCATCTACGTTGTAAAAGCAGATGGAAGGAGAAAGACAAATCGCTAATCAATGATCACAACAATTCATACTTCCCTTAAATTTTCATAACTTTGATAAAGGAAATCAATAAGTAAATACAAATCATAGGCATCCAATTCTGAACGCTTTCCCCTTACCCACCATCATAAGAAATCAAAACTTCTATAGATAAGAAAATACATAATATAGCACCATAAGTATGACGAGAGCATGTACCCATGTCCTTATTGATGTAATATTTGTTACAGTCAGAAAGCACATTCCAGTTTCGACCATTGGTAGAAATTTTAACAAGATCTTACACAAGTTGTAAAATGTACAAGGAGGAAAAAATAATCGCAGAACATGTCATCAAGAACAGAGATTTTTAGAGGTCAAGATTGAAAAATCAAACATATTGTCAGGACATTGTTAGCTGGTACAAAAGTTATCTTGGTAATTTAACAAAATATGGAAGGAGGCAACGATTTATATTACAGTTTTGATGAAAACAAACTATAAAAAAGAAGAAGAAAAAAACGGCAGATATTTATACCTCACTTTCTGCTAGCAACTGCTCCAGTGCCTTGGGAAGATATGGGAACACTGATGCTCCCAAGGTATCCACCATACGGTGAATAAATGAAGTGACCTAACAAAGGAGGTCCGATTAGCTGAGGAGCTTATCACACAGCATTAATGAAGAAAGCTCAAAAGCATACCTTACACCGTAGTGGTACTATCTTCGGAAAGACAACTAGTAGTTGTAGGAGAACATCTAATGTCTGAATATTTATAAAAGAACCTATTAAAACACAGAAAAGATAAAACAAACATCCTTACGTCTAAACAAAAATCTGCTCATAGAGCCCCAAAGTTCTATGAGGCCCTTGTACGAGGTCAGCATAGAATAATCAGAATGCAGATTAAATCACGCACTAGTTAGTTTGGATACAAAAAGACATGGACAGTGAAGCTTTCCACCGACCTGTTTGAACATGAGACCAATAGCAGGGCGACTGGCAGTTACAAGACGCTCACTGAAGCCCTGAATCAAACATGCACCATACTCATTAGAATACAAATTTATGCAAAAATTATGAAAACTTGTCCAAGCAGATTCAAAAACTTGACAAAATAATGTCATGTCAAACTCGTAAATTAGATGCAGCTTAAATTTTCACCCATTAAAGAAAGATTAACAATTATAAAAAAGATGCCATCCTTTCTCCATATCACATTTAGCCCCTGTTTGGCCCCCATTACATGGAAAATTAATGGGTGGAATAGTTTTTTTTTTTGAAAAATGAGTGGTTGAAAAAGAAGGAAAAGTTTTCGATTTACGTGTAATATTATTTTATGGAAGATTGTATGGTTGAAAATAGGAGAGAGAAAAATGAAATGTAATAGAATAAAAATTAATGGGGGCCAAACGGGGGCTTACAATGAGACAATAAAATTTTGTTTCCTTTCTTATCAAAGATACTACAGAAAAGCGACATATTCAAAAAACAAATAAATAAATAAATAAATAGATAATAATAATAATAATAGTAGTAGTAGTAGAAGTAGTAGTAATAATAATAAATGAAATTAAAGCAACTGGTATATATAAGAAACAAGAAATTTGAAAGGTCAAGAAAGACCTTGCTGAGGGCATTAATGGCCATAATTATTTGCTGGATCTTTGCTATATTTGTCGCAGATTCATCGGGAATCTGAGTTTGAGCATTTAAGAGGGCAAATTCAACCTGCCAAAGCATTTTGATTTTTGATTAACTAAGTGTTGAGTAACAAGAAATCAGTTTAAAATAGATGAGAATATATGATATCTAGATAAATTAAGTGTCAACATTACAAATTGATAAAAAGAGGGCCTGCACGGGTAGCCTAATAAACACGTTTTCATAACAAGCAATCAAACTTGACCTGCTGACAGAGAGGAGTAAGCAAGGCAGCTAGGTAGTCAGATTGCTTTTCAAGTGGTACATCTTCCATTCCAATTAATAACCCAATTGCCTGTAAAGTAATGACAACAACTCGCCTTGGATCAGACATCAATAATATAAACCTGCAAAAATAAATTACTGGTATAGCATATACCTCAAAAATGTGACTACCATCTTCAGATCCCGATTGTGTTTTTGATGAACCATCCATTCTAGTAAACTGTGCAACTGTATCTTGTAGACTCTGGAAATCCAAGGAAATGTCAAGCTCGATAAGGAAAAAGAGAATAACAAGGTGTGGCAATTACTCAAATTTTCCAGCATCTAAAACAACAACAAAAAGCTGCTAGTATATAAATCATTTTTCTCAGCACTCTGCTCGACATCCACTTAAAAGTCCAATTGAAACCAACTTTTTTACAACCCATGAGGCCCTCTAAAACAAATAACCAATGAAGATGGCAAAAATGAAATGAACAGTTTAATACCTGCAAGATTGTCTCTATATAAGGAACAAGCTTTGCTTTGAGCAATTTGACAACTCTCATGAAAAGATAACTTGCCCTTCGACTCACATTGACATTTGAATGGTGTATACCTCTTTCGTCAAGAAAGGCACCCAGGGCTACAGGAATATATTGAGTGTTCTCCTGCACAAACTTCATATATCTTGTTATCGTTTCCAGGAAAACAAGTGCCACGATCCTATTGGAATGACAAGGAAATCTCGTTGATAAAAGCATCAGAACCAGCTCTCCCAATTGACCACTTGCAGTCCTCATCATATCATCACTTATTGATTCTCCAAGAGCATAAAATAAGGAAAGTGCAGCTTCTACCACTTCAACATTTCTATCCTCTGATGATGCAGCAGCACTTGCTAATGAGTTCCTGATAAAAATCTGAGTCATGTCAGGTGCTACACAACCTACACTGCGAAGCAATACAAATAAATCTTTCCTAAACTCCACCATCCTATCTTCTTCTTCTCTCCCGATCTTGTCCAACACATCAAGATTATTGCGGTAGATAGGATCAAACTGAATCTGCACTCGAATCACTTCTAATATCTGTCGCACATGAAGTAGCTGTGTTTCTGTCAGCATGGAAAGACTTTTCATTGTATTAACATAACCAGAAAGAAACTGAACAATGCTGAACGTTGCATCAACTTCACAGCTCTGCATTACATAAAAAACCGACGGCAAAACCTCATTCAACAGCTCCAATGAAATCTCTTTACCGTCACTGGGGCTCAAACGCTTGGAACATTCCAAAGCCTCAGCAGCATAGCCAGTAAGCAAAGAAGCCACGCCAGAAACCAACTCAGAGTCACTATCCCCTGCTACCAATCCAAAAGCCCTTCTTATATGAAGACTCTTTAAAAGGGCAAGTTTTGACTTTGAATCCATCCGCTTAGAGACCGCTGCAAGAAGAACACTGGCAGCAGCAGCCCGAAGCTGATCTGGAAACCCATCCACCAACATCAATTCAAAAAACAAACTAGTAAATGATTCGTTCACAATCAAGCTAATGTCAATCCATGATATGTACCTCCTCATAGAATCTAAAACACCAGTACACAACTCCGGGTCCGAATTCCGGTACATCAACACAACGTCATACCATGCCCTTACAATCTGAGGCACGCATTGTGCCCTCATTGCATCCTTAATCCTCCCCGCCACAGCCATCTCATCCCCATTTCGTGGATAGTCTAAGCTGATTACTTCATCATCCAACGCATTCAAAATCCGACAAAACATATCGATAACCACCCGGCCTTTACTCAAATTTGGCAAGAAATCAATAAAAACAGAAGGCCAAATTGATGGGTACTCAAAATATATTAATGTCACAACAACCTGAGCAAGCTTGTTCTTTATAAATGCCTGGCCCTCCAAAACCAGAACAGAGTTGTGGTCATTAACATTAACAGCCTCGCAACAAGCCATTGAAAATATGGATTTCCGAATAAAGGACTTCTCCTCTAGACCCATTGATGAGTATTTGTCGCGAAGGGCCTCGTGGAGGCATTGCAAACACCAGAATTGGACTTGAACTAACTTAGAAAAACAGAGCTTCTCTATACATATGGAAGGAATGGATAGAGTCTCTTTAATTTGCTGAATAAAAGTCGCTGCCTTTGATTTCAGTTCTGAATCTACAGTCCCAGATTCATCAAAGCATATTAAAATCGCCTTTTCAAGATCATCCATTATTACTACGAAATCCCAAAACCCTAATTAACTAAAAAAACTCGCCAAATTTACTCCCACTGCAATAAATTTGAATGAAAAAATGAGCAATTTCAAAAAGAAAAATCCTTGCCTTCTGCATTAGTTTAACGGAATTTAAAGTGATTGGAGGATTGATGAATTCAAAACAATTTGATTAAACAGCAGGATTTGTTAAGGCTGCTTACCTGAATACCTAAAAATTTGATTGAAGAATAAAGCTATTGGTGAATAAAGCTAGGGTTTTAGGATGAATCCAGAAATTAATTAAAAAAAAAAAAACCCCCCTCAAACCTTGGAGTCACCCAATAAGTTTTATTAATATATATGGGTGCGTCTGTGTTTCGTATATCTGAGAGAGTTCGGGCGCCTGCAACTGGATGTGTGTGAAGAGGAGGAGAAGACGGAGGCTGGGCAAAGAACTCACGTTTTATACACACCGCCCGCCCCCAGCCACTCCAACCTATGTCATCCATCCCATCCCCCAAGCAATTTTTATTTTATTTTATTCAAACTTTTATGGAAACAAAACGGGTTAATTATTTGAATTGTGCCTAAACTATGCCCCTCTTTGCCCTCTTTTTCTTGGACAATACTACACATATCAAATTCTTTTATTGAATCTTTTACGTATTATTCACAATAAAGATGAGAGTCAGGAGTCAATATTTTTAAATTCACATGGATCTCGCCATACACTGTGCGAGAGGAGACACTATTTGATACCCATATTATATACAAATGGAATTTTCCCTTTTTCTTTCAAATTTTCCTTCTCACTCTTATTTTTAATCATACAATTTTTCATAAAATAATATTACACATAAATTGAAAATTTTTCATACTTTTTAACCACACATTCTTCAAAAAAATATTATTCCATACATTAAAGATTGAAAAAAAATGAGGCTAAATGGAAGTTATTATATCAAATGCTGGTACTTAGTAAGGGCTGAGCCACATTAATTTCAAAAAAATATATTTTTCAACAGTAATTTGATATCATTTCAACCACATATTTTTCAATAAAATAATATTATAGGCAAATATAAAATTTTTCCTTATTTTTTAACAACACATTTCACATTGATTTGACATGAATAATGCATTTTTCCTAAAATGTGGCTCAAACATGGACTAATTAAATTAAAAAATATATCTCAATGGCATCAATGGAAATATCCGTTAGATTCAACAAACGACATTGACTTGAGCGATGAATAGATAACACACTACATGGTTCAATGACCATTAAAATACAATTTTAAATTCAAATATTAAGTAGTAATAATTGGTATAATTTTAATTCAATTATTAAGAAGTAAAAAAATTTTCTTCCCTCAAATCAATTTATTTAAAAGAAAAAACTAAAGAAAATGAAGGAAAAAATAGGAAACCCAAAGTCTGAGACATGTAAATCGGGTAAAAATATAATTTTTCTGAATTGAGAATCACAAATTTATGAAAAAAAAAATCCAATTTTTTTCCATTTGGAGCTCTCTTTCAAATATCCATTCCTTTGAAGAATTCTCACTTGCTTAATTTCACAATCCAATTTCGTTTCGAAGTGAACAAATAATTCTATCTTTTATAGAAATCTATGATCAAAATTTTAAAAAATATCTTTTGTAGGAATCTCAATCACCACTTCCAAAAAATCAATCTTTCTTTGAAAAATCTTTTTTTCTTTTTGGTGGAAAAATGAGATACCCACAGGCAAAATTCAATCACTCGTAAAAATTCTTGATACCCAATTTTGAAAAGTTCTATTTCCTTGATTTATAGACCTCTGATTTTCATATTTCTCTTTTTTCCTTCATTTGTCTTTGATTTTTTCTTTAACAAAAGTTTATTTAAGGAAAAAAATTGTTACTACTTAGTAACTGAACTTAAAATTGTATTTCAATGGACACTGAACTATGCACAATTGTATTTCAATTGGTTTATTTTAATCCCCACCAAACAGGGACTCAATAAATTTAAAAATCAAAATTTAATCCTCTTCAAATAGGGATTCAATATATTTAAAAATAATAAGTTTTTGTTATATCTTGCCGAACATATAATTAGATATCCAAAATTATTTGGAGAATGATGCTCTTAAGTGTTAGCTGAAAGCCCAAAAGTATTACTAAACGTATAACCATATTATTTCATTCTAGATTGTACCCAAACACTTGTGGGTGAAAACTAAGTCTGCACAAAAAAAATTGTGAAAATTGCAAACTGAATTGAAATCATTGGTTCGGGTTTACGTGGAATCGCTATTTTTTCTCCACTCAAGTTGAATTAACCGTTTCAAAATAGTTTGGTTTGGGTTTTGATTTTCAAAAAAGCACAAATCGAACTGAACTATTTTTATAATTTTTAATTAAAACATTAATTTCATTAACATATAAATGTTACAATTTTCATTTTTCGGGAAAAAAATACCAATTTAGTTATACAAATTGCAACCAACCCATTGAAATAAGCATAGAAAGTAAATTAGGTTCATCATTATTGGCCCATGGTTTAACAAGTTCACAACACCTATTCTCAACCAATATCTAAATTAAATTAAAATTATTCTCAAATCATATTAAATGAAAAAATATATATATATTTTTGACAATCCAAATTATAATTCAACAAAATTACGTCAATAAATCATGTCCAAAACTTCAAAAATCCTAACATAAACTCTCATTTCCGAAAATATTTTACGCTTGTCTACCATTGCTGAACGAATCGCTAATTGCCTCTTGCCTATTAGTTTGCTAATTCCTGCATGAATCGCCTCTTTTTCTCTTTTCTCTTAGTAAATCTAAATTCTCATTTAAGCTATTTTTTTGTTGTTCTTTCTTGTATTTGTTGTTTTTTTAACTTATTATACACTTGTGAATTGTGGTTTAAATAGAAAAATAACTGTTTGTGTACTTAGATGACTAATGAATTTATTTGTGGTTTGGAAATAACGAATGATAGAACGTATCAATTGTGTGAGAATGATAAAGTTCCTTAACTAATACTACTACCTTTACTTTCACAAAGTAGTTAGAGAATGAAATTTCTCAATTCCTAATAAGCCCAAACTCTATCAATCTTTGTACATCTAAACATATCATGTTCAATTCTTATTTAACATCTCACTAGCAAGATAAAATGAGTTTTAACCAAACAATAATAGCAAAATGTGGCTTTACCTTTACCAACCGCTACATGATAATATGAACGTCTAACAAGGAAAGATAAAGAAAAAAAGAAGAAAGTTGTATTTGATCTATTAACATCTTTTAGCAACCAGATTTGACAGTAATTTATTCATGGATTTCACGATAAATATAAATGTAATTTAACATTTAACATTATTAATTCTCGTTTAAACTTATATGTTAACTTATGTTAAAATTACTATAATGTCGATAGGTAAGTTGCGAATTAAAATCGAATCAAACCGCAAATTATTGTTTACTTTGGTTTGGTTCAAAAAATTAAATGGTTTGGTTTGGTTTGGTTTGAAAAAACTTCAAATCACAATAAATTGTTTGAGTTGAAAATATAACACAAACTGTCCAAATCAAACCACGTTCACCCCTATTGGATACTTGTACTTGAGTGATAAATAGACATCATCGTGTATTTTGGACATGAAGAGCAACTATGAGGTAATAAACCTAATTATTTTGGTTTGTGAAGAATTGCTTACAACAAATTCGATCCTATGTCTCTTCCACTTGTGAATTTTATGAAGGATTTTAAGTGTTTTCATCCACCTACGGAAGACGGATGAGGAGATAAAAAAACCAAGTATGAGTGTTGAAATAAGGATCTTTCTATTTTATCTCATTCAATTATTGTTCAAATTTATCTAAGAACAGAAATCAATTGTTACGCCTCGCCACTGATGCTTTATTTTAAACATACGTGGCAATCACACGGAAGCATCAACCAAAGAAAAAGTCAAAGGTTGACCAGAGTCAACGGGCTGAAGCCCACTCAATTGTCAAATATCTTTACAGCTAAGGCTCTCTATCCTAAACTCTCTCCCTCCAAAGGGCCTTGAATTAGAAGTGGTTCTCAAGGAGTTTATAGCAGTGGCGGATCTCGGTGGTGGCGAGCTAGGCCGCCCTAGCTGGATTCGCATGAACCACTGAAGAAATTTTATTTTTTTGTTGACAATAGATTAAATTTTTATATTATATTGCTTGTAACTCATTTCATTTTCAAACTTCTTCTGCAGCTCTGCTGATTAGAGCTTGCATGTGCATATTTGAAGTCTCGGGTTCTGTTGGATTTTCTGCGCAATATTAAAGAGATGAAAATGAAAATCAATACAAGAATTTTACGTGGTTCGGCGATGTGCCTACGTCCACGAGAGCGAAGCAGAGATTTCTTTATTCAGTTGATAAAAATAGGGTTACAACATATTATTTATACTAACCCTAACCTGGGCCCATATAAGACTTTAAGGCCCATACAGAAAATACCTCTGTACCGTACCGCGGGCGTAGCCCCGCACCCTCAACCCATTCAGTGTCTCTAACAACCAGACAGTGAATTAAACCCACGCAAGGCCGATGCCGTCGCTTCGCTCCGTTCCGTTCGATGCGCTCCGCTCCGCGCCGGCATCGGCCCATTTGATCCAGGGCTTGTGTTCCACTCTATATGAGCCACATGCACAACAATCTCCACCTTGGCGAATATTCACCCCTTAAGAGAAAAAAAACATAACCTAGAAAAAATCACACCATCTAGGACCAATGGGTTGGGACACATCCTCTCTAACAGTTAGAGATGTTAATCAAGTTCAAGCAATGCTTGAACCTATCCATTGTGATTGGTTTTGTCATCATGTCTACTGCATTTTCTAAGGTATGCACCTTCTCTAACAACAGCTCTCCTGAAGTAACCAACTCTCTTATCTTATGAAATCTCACGTCAATGTGCTTGGTTCTTGCATGGTAAATCTGATTCTTAGCTAGGAAGATGGCGCTCTGACTATCACAGTACAGCTTCATTCCATTTTGCTTGATCCCAAGTTCCCTGACAAGCCCTTTCAACCACAATAATTCCTTGACTGCCTTAGTTGCCGCCATGTACTTTGCTTCAGTTGTAGATAATGTCACAAGTGATTGCACCATTGACCTCCAACATATGGGCCCACCTGCGAGTGTGAAAACATAACCTGTACTGGACCTTCTGTCATCCAAGTCCCCTGCATAATTTGTATCTACATATTCTTGAACTGAAATATCACCATGTTGTCTCTCAAACATGATCCCGCACTCCATTGTACCTTTCAAGTACTTGAAAATCTACTTTACAGCTCTTCAATGCTCTCTACCAGGATTAGCCATATACTTACTAACCACACTGACTGCATGTGCTAAATCTGGTCTGGTTCACACCATTGCATACATCAAACATCCAACTGCGCTGGCATAAGGTACCTTTGACATCCCTGCAACATCTTCTTCACTCTTTGGGCAATGATTATTAGACAATCTAAAGTGATTT